TGGTGACACTGTACTACTTGTGAGGGGTGATGAAGATTTTTTTTTTTTTTTTTTTACACTGATTGCTTTTACACCCATATAGAATGTAAAAGCAATCATTTCTCTTTCTCTCTGTGTGAATTCTTGCACTCATTGAGAAGAACTGAGTGAGCTGTGATTGGTCACAGCTTGTCACATGGTACAAGGCTTTTGTGAATAGCCTTGTACCATGTGACCTCTGTGATCATTCACAGATTTCACACATAGTAAGCAATGATGTCAGAAGTGACATCTTGCTTACTACTTTGCATGTGATCACTGATTGGCCAATCAGTGATCACATGATCGGGACCTCGTACAGAGGTCCCGTCCGACGATCGGTGTTTCACTGTGTCCGGAGGACACAGCGGGCACCGGATCGCGGTGCTACGTGCTCCCAGGGAGCGCGCACAAGCAGGGTGCGGGGAGGCCGTTTATAGACGGCCACCCGACCCTGCAGTGCCACCGTCCGGCCGTTTATATACAACGGCCGGTCGGGAAGTGGTTAATGCTGCTGTAGGCCTCTTGACAGCCTCCCAGACCAGTTTTCTTCTCGTCCTTTCATCAACTTTGGAGGGACGTCCACTTCTTGGTAATGTCACTGTTGCGCCATATTTTCTCCACCTGATGAATGTCTTCACTGTGTTCCATGGTATATCTAATGCCTTGGAAATTCTTTTGTACCCTTCTCCTGACTGATACCTTTTAACAATGAGATCCCTCTGGAGCTTTGGAAGCTCTCTGCAGACCATGGCTTTTGCTGTAGGATGCAACTAAGAAAATGTCAGGAAAGACCTACTAGAACAGCTGAACTTTATTTGGGGCTAATCAGAGGCACTTTAAATGATGGCAGGTGTGTCTTGACTATTTAACATGATTTTGAATGTGATTGCTTAATTCTGAATACAGCTACATCCCCAGTTAAAAAAAAGGGTGTGCACACATATGCAACCACATTGTTTTTTATGTTTACTTCCCCCCATAAAAGATTTCAGTTTGTTTTTCAATTGTGTTGTACAGTTTATAGGTCACATTAAAAGGTGGAAAATGTTCTGAAATTATTTATCTTTGTCTCATTTTTTTACATCACAGAAACCTGGACAACAGGGGTGTGTAGACTTTTTATATCCACTGTATATGCATAAAATTCTAAGCACTATGGGTTAAGCTAGAGCACCATCTCTTAAATATGGGACTGGGTATTTTGATAGGGGCCGAGTCACTCTGGGATGACTCCTTTATTTCAGTTGACACATTTAGATGTAGCTATTGACCTCAATAAACATGCTTTCTACAACAACCTAGAATAAAGTAGCCAACAGTGCAAAAAAGATATAGAATATCCAGCAGCTGGAAATAACACTGCCTGCCTGGGCAGATAAACTATTTATGCAAAAAAAACAGAACTCAATAGACCGTCCCTAATCCTTTCAAAGTCTATATGTAAGTAATAATAGTCCCCTTATACTCTCACCAGACACTTTATGCAATAAAGCCTTGTATATTAACACATTATCTTCTCCTTCTCTTTATCTCGGTCTCATACACTGTGCATACTCCCAAGTGACATAAAAAAAAATATTCCATATAGTGTAATATGTTCTAAAACTTATATAACTTTCTAATAAAATTATTGTGCTCACTTTGCAAGTGGCAAAATCTTTACACCATGTGATATCGATAACCGTCCACCTTCCTTAAAGTAGAACTATAGGCAAATTTTTTTTTCCATTTTGGATATAACAAGAGAGGTTTATAATCCATGTCAGATTTTTTTTACCCATCTATGTCCCATTGCCCTTCACTTCCTGTCCCATAGCCAAACAGGAAGTAAAAAGGAAATACCTGTAAATTAAGGGAATTCCTTGGGGACCACCAGGTCATCAGAATTAGTGTCCCCATTAGAATATTTCCCCTCTATAACTTTTCTGGGAACAACCCAAAATGTGAGATTTTCTTTTACTTTCACTTTCAATAATATTGGTAAACAGGACAAATAGAGAGGGCAAATCTCCTTAATGGGATAACGCAATAAAAACTGCCAGGGGTTCTAATCCCCCTCCGCTATCCAAAACGTAAAAAAAAAAAAAAAAAGTTTGCCTTTACTTATACTTTAATATTTACTCTTACCCTCAATAGAGAGGTTTCTTTCAACAATATATATGTGTCTCTTTCAAAACCTCCATCTAGATATCCTCTTCAAGCAAAATTTACTCCCAAAAAGGAAAAAACTAATTTAGTAGAGTATGCCATTAAATCATAAATCATCCACACATTTATATTCCAAACACCTCACCCTTCAAGACCATGCACCTTACCAAACTCTGGCTGTAAACACACATTTCAAATAACTTCACAGTGTTCTCTGTCACTTCACGGTTCCAATTTCCTTCTGTGTTCTCTGCCTCTCCACAAGCTCCCGGCATAGAAAATTAACACAGAAAACCTTCTCCAAAATGGCTACCGCGACATTTCTGGTTTGCGGCTGACGTCACCTCTGACGCATTTCATCACCAATCGATTGGTGACGAAATGGTGACGAAATGCGGCAAGAAGTGATGTTACTTGTTTTACACTTTCAAAGTTAGTACAATAATTTTTTGTTTAAATTCATCAGAAAGTGAACACAATAATTTGTTATAAATTTATATCAATTTTGAAACATATTTATTTTTTTTATTTTTCTATGTCACAAGGGAGTATGCACAGTGTATGAGATGGAGATAGAAAGGAGAAGATAATTTGTTAATATAAAAGGCTTTACTGCATCAAGTGTCTGATGAGAGCATACGGAGACTATTATTACTTACATATAAACTTTTAAAAGGACTGTCTATTGAGCCCTGTTTTTTTGCATAAATAATTTCTACAACAACCTGGTTGGGGGAAACTTAACAGCCTATAAAGTAGGTGAGCTGGGTGGATTTCAAGTACTGATAGAATCACCCAGAGCCAAACTCTGACTTATTGATGTTTACATCAGAATCTGATGGGTGATGCTGGAAAATGTTGGATTGTATGTGGCTGGGTTGGAAGAGCAAATAGCAAAATATCTAAAAGAAAACAAAAAGGTCTTCTTTCATAAGCTGAATGACAGGCAGAATGCAGCGGTTAAACCTGCCAAAAGGATTTGTATTTACAGTGGGTAAAGAAAAAAATTCACACTCCTTTAAAATAATCACATTTTGTTGCTTTGCAGCCCGAAATGAAGACAGGCACAGTTTTTGTTTTATCCTGGGTTATTTACTCGGTGCAACTTAGAACATCCAAGTGAAAGATATAACACCACAAAATGTGATTATTTTAAAGGGGGTGATTTTTTTTCTATACCCACTGTATCTCTATCCAGTTCTGCTAAGTATGCTATACAGCACAACCCTGTCTGACAGGGCAGGAGACCACATTTTTTTCTGCTGCAGTTAGGCTACACTGATAAGTCGTATCCCTCCCTCCAGTCTCCCAGCCTGTGACTGGATAATCAGCAAATTGATGAGCTCATCTTTCTGTCACTCTGCTCGCTTCTCCTGTCTGCATGTATCTTGCTAGCACATAAGCACTGTAGCACAAATGACTGGTAGACTTTCTTTGCTTGCATTAAGCAAAATATCTCTCTCTCTTCTGCATATGCTGAGCCAGTTCAGGTGGACTGCAGCTTAGGCCAAGAGCTTCATCCTACATATATCAGATCATAACTTTTGTCACTGCCACAGGTTCCAGGTTGTTTCTGTAAAGCATACAGTATGGCACCATTTACCATTTCTGAAGTAATGCCTTAATACAAATTATGATGCACTGGTCCTGTTATTAAATGGGGCCTGCTGTTAATAGTACACATCAGACTTCTAAAGTGTCCTCTGAAGCAACATTGAGTTTTCAGTTAAAATGAGCCAATTACATTCCAGGTGCATTAAACAAAAGGTGTGTAAAGTAGAAAATCCTGGTTTTGCCAGGATATTGCAGACAAGGACCCTTGCTTTCTGGAAACAGTTGTCTCTCTGCAGAAGCAAGACATGTATCCTGCTGCGTCAGAGCTGGCACTCTCCAAACAGCAGGGAGTATGAACTTTGCCAATGGCAGAGCTAGAATGCGGGCTAAGCAGGGGGAATGTTAAACATTCCTGGTGCATCAAAACAAAAAGGTGTTCTATATCTGTTTATTTCTTTTGAATGCAGCCACAGTAGGAGTAGAAAAAGCCTTCCCTTGACAGCAGATGCAAAGGAGTACTCTTGGTCTCATGGTTTTGTGTGGAAGCAGTTGTACTTGTGCAGAGGTCTGATATTAGTCCTACTGAGTCAGACATAAAGCTATGAAACCAAAAAAATTCATTCTACCTGCTGACTGAAGAGCTCTGAACTAGCAGGGGATGTTTTGAAACCTCTGCAGAGAGATCACTGCTTCCATTTAGAAAGTGTCCTTCTCTGCAGCATGCAGGCAGGGGACAAAGCCTTTCTACTCCAGTTGTGGCTGCTTTCTAAAGACAACAAATGTAAAGACTTTGAACACATTTTGTTTTGATGCACCTGGAATGTATTTAGCCATTTCAACTGAAAGGTCAAAGGTCTTTAAAATTCTGGTAAGAAAAGGGCCTGACCGCAAAAATGTGCAGGAAAATTTTTTTATTGCCCCCTTCAACAAATGATATATTATTTTGTCCTTTCCTACAGCATTGTATTCATCAAATTGAGAGTTTACTTTACTCGGTTGATACAGGCAACAAATACAGTTCTTCTTTAGGCGCTTTCCATGCATGAAGCCCAAAATGGCTTGTGGACATGAAAGGAACCAACCAACACAGATGTGAAAGCACAGGAATCACATGAGGGCAGACATGGCTACACGACCACAGGGTGGCGCTAATAACACAGGAGGTGGGGAAAGGGGGGAGGGTGTCACTTGTTTGTAAGTAAGCAAAAAGTTGCCTGCGACACTGTTCTTGGGAACGCTTGCGTTTGGAGGGGGAGTGTTTTCCAAAACGTACTAACCTGATCAGAGACACTGAGTGTGGGCTAGTGAAAAACAGAAAGATATGATATGGAGAGGGAAACAAAATGAAAGTAAAAAAAAAAACAAAAAAAAATTTTTTTACAAAAAAAGTGGTAGTGGGCAGGACATGACTAAGAGGACCTACCTTCATGGGGATGTTAGTTATGGTGGTGGAAGCCAGGTCGAAGTGCAGCTGGACTAAATTATTCAATTTTGTAGCAAGGTGCCTACCAGCCCGAACGCTGTGAACTTCGCTGGTCAATACGGATGACAGCTGGTGACAAAATGAGAAGAAGCACAGAAATCTGGATTTAAGCATGTGTACACAGGCATTTCTGGAACATTTATCAAGAGATTTGTTTTACTTGCTGAGCTTTTGGTGCTAAAAAAAAAAAAAAAAAAGTCCCCCCCCCCCCCAAATGACCCCTAAACCTTAAATCTGAACTCCAACAAACTTTTCCCTTGCAGTGGGTCTGCTCCCACATGCATAGGTTAACGGCTTGTTTCTGTTCAGGGGATTCGGAGAAGCAGATTTACTTACCGGATCCTCCATTCCTGCAGGTTCCTATATGCTGCTAGATCAGTTCCCACAACCGTTTCTACCCAAAACGCCAGAGTTCTAAGGTCCACTGATGTCATGAAGACTGATACAGGGTTCATAGCTCTGCATTGGTTGAGAGGAAAATGAATGACAGTCCATACCCCTGGAGCGTGTGTGGGCACTGTCTGCTGGGGGAGCAGAGGATCTGGTGCTTAATAACAGTGCTTTTACTGTCTCCTGGACTAAACAAGAATGTAACTCTTGCAGTGCAGGTACAGCCCCATTGCAAGGGAGAATTGTTAGGAAAAAAAAAAAAGAAAAAAAAAAGAAAAAAGAGGATTAAACATCAGCCCAACTCCAAAAAACCAGATTCCTCCATTCCCTCTCATCAACATAAAATGTTTTAGATAAAACCCTTCAATTTTCATTACATACTTTATTTTAGATTCAGTGATGTTATCTCTGACAGGGTGCTGTACATAACTTCCTGAAAGCATCACAGCACCCTACCTCAGTACTCGTCCCAGGAGCTCTTAGCTCTGATGCAGGCAGTAGGCTGGCTATTGGGAGAAGTTATGTAAATACCAAAATGCCTTTATGGGTGGGTCAATCTGGAGGAGTAGGTGTTCCTAGGAGAGCTGCATGTGCATACAGACTGCCCTAGGTCATTCCTATGAGTGATGCTGAGCCTCCATGATAAAAAGAACTAAAATCCAAAAAACAAGAACAGACAAGATGGGAAGAAAAGATCTAGATGATGCTGGATGTCCTCCATCCAGGAAATGAGGCGGACTCTATTAAACCTGCTGCAGTTTCAGATGCACGCTGTGAGAAGCTCACAGTGTACAGTGAAATCAAAATAAGCATTTTCAGTACAGGAGAGGAGACTGTACAATTGTGCAAGACTTAGGGCTAGAGTTCAGCTTTAAAGTATAGTTTAGGAAATATTTCAAATCCTGTTTTTGTTTATTTTTGTTACTCGTGTCCGGTTAGGGATATTTCCCTTCACTTCCTGTCCCACAGACAAAACAGGAAATCTCTCCAATGTAAGGAAAATTCCTTTAGACAGTTGTCACCAGAACAGGTGTCCACACTAGGAGATTTTGCTTATATTCCTGTTACAGCTACATCTCTAAATTTTGCATTTTCTTTATTTTCAGTCCCAGTGATATTAGCTAACTGCTAAACAATTGGAATATAAACAGAGATCCTCCTGCGCAAAAGGTGAATAACCCTACTGTAAGCTGCCAACACTTAATCTGTTACCCAAACAGTGAAAATACCAAAATTACATAAATAGTGCAGCGCTCAAAAACTAACCTATATATACAAATAACTGTGCTCACATGCAATAGTGACACACATATGGTGAAATAACCTAAATATCAAGTGCCACTTAATGATGATCTAAGGTGTTCATAAAGATATGAAAAAAACGCTTATATACAACGTGGTAAAGAATGCATAAAAACGCATAAATATCAAACGCATAAATACATATAAAAAATAATTATAAATAATTTATAAAGTGCTCCAAATGTGGTAATGTGACCACATTCAATCAAATATATCTTCCAAAAAATCAAGCAAAAAAATAGTCCATAAAAAATAGTGGCAAACACATGCAAAGTGAAAAAGGTGCAAAAATATGCTAAAAAATTGTGCAAAGAGAAAGTGTCCTTGTTCCACAGCAGTGCAAATCTTCCCCTCCTACGGCTAAATTGCCTCCTCACCTCCTTACATCGACCCCTAAGGGCCACACAGCATTCAGGATCTCTCTGGATCCTTATCTCCTGGAGATCAGCACTTCTCCTGCCGTCCTGGATCACTCTGAAGGTATTCCCATTACCCCCACTCAGAAGCTTCTATAGGATAATTACTCACCATCCAGTGAGCAAGAAAGAAAGAGATCCTCTAAGTGCAGTATTTATCAGAGCCAAACGACACTTTAATAACAATGGTTTTACACAAGCATATAGCCACTCACATGTTTTTCCATTCCTCTCGACATGTGGGTGTACTGCATGTAATTAGAAGGACTTCCTGGGTATACCAAGATGGCGGTTGGCACCGGAAGTGCGTCACCGCGTACCGGAAGTTCGGCGTACTGGCGTGCCTACGCGTTACGTCACTCTTACTCGTGACTTCCTCTGGGCTTTTCAAAAAAAAAAAGCCCAGAGGAAGTCACGAGTAAGAGTGACGTAACGCGTAGGCACGCCAGTACGCCGAACTTCCGGTACGCGGTGACGCACTTCCGGTGCCAACCGCCATCTTGGTATACCCAGGAAGTCCTTCTAATTACATGCAGTACACCCACATGTCGAGAGGAATGGAAAAACATGTGAGTGGCTATATGCTTGTGTAAAACCATTGTTATTAAAGTGTCGTTTGGCTCTGATAAATACTGCACTTAGAGGATCTCTTTCTTTCTTGCTCACTGGATGGTGAGTAATTATCCTATAGAAGCTTCTGAGTGGGGGTAATGGGAATACCTTCAGAGTGATCCAGGACGGCAGGAGAAGTGCTGATCTCCAGGAGATAAGGATCCAGAGAGATCCTGAATGCTGTGTGGCCCTTAGGGGTCGATGTAAGGAGGTGAGGAGGCAATTTAGCCGTAGGAGGGGAAGATTTGCACTGCTGTGGAACAAGGACACTTTCTCTTTGCACAATTTTTTAGCATATTTTTGCACCTTTTTCACTTTGCATGTGTTTGCCACTATTTTTTATGGACTATTTTTTTGCTTGATTTTTTGGAAGATATATTTTGATTGAATGTGGTCACATTACCACATTTGGAGCACTTTATAAATTATTTATAATTATTTTTTATATGTATTTATGCGTTTGATATTTATGCGTTTTTATGCATTCTTTACCACGTTGTATATAAGCGTTTTTCATATCTTTATGAACACCTTAGATCATCATTAAGTGGCACTTGATATTTAGGTTATTTCACCATATGTGTGTCACTATTGCATGTGAGCACAGTTATTTGTATATATAGGTTAGTTTTTGAGCGCTGCACTATTTATGTAATTTTAGCTAACTGCTAAGTTCCTTCTGAGAAGGGGGAGTTGAGTCACATCTGGGAAAGTGGAGCATATGGAGATGAGCTATGGAGTAAATGCTGGGAGAACACAGCAAAAGGAGCTGAGCTGCTAAATCACTGCTGGGAGGGTAGAGCAGGGGGAGCTCAGCCTCTCAGTCACTGCTGGGATGTGGAAGCCGAGCTGCTAAATTACATCTTGGAAGGGGGAACTGAGCTGCTGAGTCACTGCTTGGAGGGAGAAAGCTGAGCTGTTGAGTTCACTATTGAGAGAAGTGGGGACTGGGCTTCAGGGGGGAGCTGAGTCACAGCTGGGAGAGTACAGCATGGGAAGCTGAGCTACTGAATTATTGTGGGGAGGACATAGCAGGGGGAGCTGACCTGCAGAGTCACTGCTGAGAAGAGGAATATGGCTGCTAATTTACTGCTGGGAGTGGGGAGCGGGGAAGACAAGCTGCTGAATCACAGCTGGAAGGGAGAAGCAAATGAGCTACTGAGAGAAAATGAAAGTGTTTTTGCTGTAAAAACTTTGAGAAGGAATTACTCCACAGCACCTGCAGCTACAGAGGTTGGTAACTCATGTAATTGCTTGTTATGAATATGCAAATGTTTGAATATATCCTGACCATAATTGCAATGCCTTGTGATATTTATCCAAAATATGCGCTCACTGAAAATGAACTGATGTAACTGAGCAGTATTATCACAGTTTCTCGAAAAAAGATCAAAAGCCATCAATTTCACCTACCTCTTTCTTAGGCCGATCAGACACAAGACTCTCATCACCAACTGGGTATGTGTGAATTAATACCAGCTCACACTTCTGAATCTGCATGAGACTACAACAGACAAAGATAGTTAATAATGGTGGGAATGGTCCCCATGTCCAGAAACCACATCCCAGACTAATTACTCATAAAACAAGTACATGTATACAGGAGTTTTTGGATATCAAAATAAATATACCGTCCCTACCAAATTAAAATCATAAAAACACTCATTTTGTATTGTGCATGTATAAAAGATCAGATGTAAAAAAAAAAATATATACACTTTTGTGTCACATATATCAAGGTAAACTACCCTTTCCCATCCACTGCTATAATATACAACTGTTCAGTGAATTGTTACAGTGCTCACCAGTAAATGGTAGGTTGTTGCGTTTCACAAATATACAAGATCTGCTTCCAAGAAGCCATATGAAATGGATATATATGATACCGTATGCCAGCATGTATGACACTAAGCTTCTGCAGTGTATCCACGGGGAGACTGCAGAAAATGGCCACAAGATGATCCCATCCCATAGAGCTATAGTCCTTGATTCGCTCTTCTATTGGATTTCTGCGACTCAATCTAGAGGTGGGGTGACCTCCTCAAATCAGTGGGGAAACTTTTTTTCCCTATAGTATCTTATAAAAAGGGTTCCACACAACCAAAAATGGGAGGGTCCCAAAGAGAGGAAGATACTCCTATACCATAAGGGGAAATCATGAAGAGATGACACAACATCAGCTCAGTAAACAAAGAAAACTGCGCCACAGACAAAACCAAAAGAACCCAAAAATAAGGAAACACAGATGAGTGCGATTATGGCTGCTGCAATCTTCAAAATGTGTCTAACTTCCACATTAGTGAGTCCTATAAAAAGTGTATATAGACAGCACTGCCGAAAATGTGAATCAAAATTACTAAACAGTTTGTCATATGTGAAAATGAAAAAATAAATAAATAAATGAACACCACCAGAAAATCCAAATAATGTCCGATGTATCATTAGGCCATTCAAATGATAGTTGCTTGAAAACCAAGAGAAAGGTGAACAGGTGCTGGTGCCATTAGTAACAGAAAAAAAAACTGGTGACCACTTCCAGATGACCCCACATGGATTTGCACTCACCACAATAGATGGACCTTCTATTACTAGATAGGCCTTACTGCTCCTTTTTTGGTTGGACCCACTGGGGTTTATTTACTAAACCTGGTTGACTCAGAATCTTGTCCACTTCTGCATAAAAACCAATCAGCTTCCAGGTTTTATTGCTGAAGCTTAACTGAACATGCTGAGGTTAGAAGCTGATTGGCTACCATGCACAGGTGCCCAAGATTCTGAGTCAACCAGGTTTAGTAAATAAACCCCACTATGTCTTCTAACCAACTTGACCATTCATATGTATCAGGAATGAGATTCCTTCCCATGCAATACACTGCCACTCAAAACAGTATCAGGGAAAAGGTTCATTGCGCAATGCAACCAACTTTATTAAATCATATAAAACCTAACAATAACACCGCACTTACATCTATATGTGCCTAAGGACCAGCACCAGGTGGTTAAGATGGCCGCCACCACCCTGACACCAGAAGCTGGCTTGTACTCCAGGGATGGGATGTAATGTATCAGCTGGGGAACACTGCTTCAACTAGTGTCGTCTGTAATTGGATGTCTTCATACGTCTTCCTGAAGAAGTCCAATTTCAGACGAACATTATTTGTATTTTCTGGTGTTCTGTTTTTTTTTTGCATTTTTACATGTGGCAAAATGTTTAGTAGTTATGATTAACATCAGCTCAATAAATAAGGTCTTCTTAAGTGGACGGGAACAATAACCTGCAGGCCGTACAAATGCACTCTAGGGGTTTGTACCTAGAAGAGATCACCGACAGACAAAACATTTCTTGGGGTTCAAAAGTAATTTGTTTTAAATCTAAAACTGGCTTAGCCAAATTTTGTGTACATACTGATCAGAGCCAGCAGCCAGCTTGTTGTGTTCATGTATGGTCTCACTGACACAGTCCTCCAACATCTGAACGTGGCTATCACTGAGAAAACAAAAGAAAAAGAAAAAGGTGAAGATGGGCAAGTGACAATATGGCTTGAAAAACTGACAGCAATGACAACCAGAGGACAAAATTGACAGGATAATGCAAATGATTCATGTACAGTAAAGCACAGTGATATCAGATTAAAGTGTACCTTGACACACTGCAATGGAAACCCTCAAAAGTCATAATTTAATGTTATCAATGAGACAGTTGTGCAAGAGTCAAAGCCAAAGTCGCATCCGAGTCGCACAAATCAAAAGCTGCATCAAAGTCGCAATGGAAGTCGCACGACTTTGGAGTTGCACAAGTGTGAATTTATTTATTTCAGGTACTTACAAAGCGCTGTCAATTTACGCAGCGCTTTACACACACACACACATATATATATATATATATATATATATATATATATATGTACATTCACATCAGCCCCTAACCCTCAAGGGGTGTACAATCTAAGGTCCCTAACTCACATTCATACATACACATACTAGGGACAATTTAGACAAGATCCAATTAACCTACCTGCATGTCTTTGGAGTGTGGGAGGAAACCGGAGTACCCGGAGGAAACCCAGACAGGGACAGGGAGAACATGCAAACTCCAGGCAGGTGGTGCTGTGGCTGGGATGGAACTTTATTGGCAGATCTCTGTGAATGATTGATGTAGCTGTGTTGTCAGAGACCTACACAGCTGCGCATATTTCCAAAGTGACAGCTGACTCAGTGGAGAAGAACCTCCGCCCGCTTGCTGCTGCGGGGGGAAAGCAAATTTGGAGGTGGGTGGTCCAATTTGCACCAGGGTATAACACGCTCCAAAAGGAGGATTTAGTCTTTAAACCTTTTACCATAGTGACAGGGCCACTATAAAGACCTTGTTATCAACTTACAAAATTACAGGTAAAAGCACAGTAAATGAAGTATGTTACATGATTACTTGCAGTGATTTTGCTTTATAAATTAACTGAAGTGAATATTTTTTTTCACTTGTAATGTTCCTTTGAACTTGGTAAAAAATGTTACCGCTCAAGAAGAGTTAACTCTTGAGCACAGCCCTCATTCCTCCTTGTACAGTATATTAAAACCCTCTCCTCTTCGGGGATACTCCAATTACTGTCTGTGCTGGCCCAGCTCCACTGCCCCCTCCCCCCAAATAACCTTTTTTGTAGGTTCTGGGGAAGAACCAATGAAGACTACTATAGAGGGTTTAATTTGAGTGACACTTGAGTCCGCTGAGGCTGCTGACATCACATTCAAGATGGCAGGGCCCAGCAGCAGTCTCAGGGCTTTAGATTGTCTACAAAAGGGAGGTTTTTTTACAGGTAAATAACAGGCCAAAATACATTTAATGCACATATAATTATATATTATATATGAGCAGAGAGCAGAGATAACCCGGTGATGGACTGTGGAGGGGGCGAGGGTGGGAGCTGGCTGGCCCTGGCTCTCAGTGGCATGCTGAGGGGCTGAGCCAGCTGCCGGTCAGGCATCGGGGTGAATCCTGACTTTATTGTCAGGATCCCTGCAAAGCCTGGACTGGCTCTGTGACATCAGCCCACTGATGACTGAATCTGGGTCAGGACTGCAGAAATAAGTGCATTCCTGTGACTCAGATAGGAAGTATTGGTAAAAAAGCTTTTTAATGCTCTTATGTAAACCCCAAAACAATAATGTATTATACAGTATTGCACCTTACTAGTCCTTAGACTTGGGAACTGGTTCTCTTTTCTTTTTCTTTTTTAATCTTCCTGTCCTAGGGTGACAATGTTCACTCACTGTACTCTATGTATGTCGAAGCAGTGTTGTCATCGTAGGCTGTGCTCCTGATTTGGACTACATACAGCTAACCTCCATCTGTACTACTAAGAGGAATGGTGTTCTGTAGTTTTTGAAGAATAGTTGGAAAGGCTGATAGCATTGTTGGAAATTTCAGTTCAATACACAGGACCTTACAAGGGAACTGTATTTCTTGCAGGACCAACAAATATTTTCTGTACTTGCTGAAAATGAAAAAGAAAGAAAATGCAGCCACCACATCAAAGAACTGCTTAAGTGCAAGATATTATATTTTTTGCGTAGGTTTAGATAAAATGTATTGCAAAAGTTTTCATAGATCAGGTGTGAGAGCCAGATATCTAGTACCTATGAGTTTAAACACAACAGTCCTGCTGGATGCCATGCACAACTCTGCCAAAAGATTTATTTCTAAGGGTTTGTACCTCTTGGCATTGGTGAGACAGATGATGCGGCCCCTGTTAGCCACACGGTCTGCATTCTCCATTAGCACCGTCCTGGACTCATGCTGACAATCTGTGATCTTACACAGGGACTCCACCGCTGCCACCAGCCCATGAAGGATGCTGCAACACTCTGGATCTGCCCGGGGATTCGGAGGGCCAATCGAGGCCAAGGCTGCCATTAACTAGAAGAAAATAAAATAGGAGTTGTTTTTAAAAAAGGGTTTGAATTAAGGAACCAAACACTCAGACAAGGTGGATACAATGACAATAAGCCACTCTGCAGGGTGCAACAATTGGGATTGATGCATCGATAAAAGGAGCACTAGCAACAGTCCATATAAGTGGCAGAAAAACTGAAATTAGGTTCATTAACAAAAGGAGTTCATAAAGTTAGTAAACTGAAACCAATTTCAAAATAGGTAGATTCATATATGGCAATTTCTCTCCTTACCTCCTGCAAGTTTTGATCCTCTTGAGACCAACTATTCAATATCCGGGAACAAGAATCACTGACTATAAAATTCACCTACAGACACAGAAAGCATTACATTTCACTGTTAGGAAATCCCAAGACATGGCAGCTAAATAAATATGTTGTCTTTACCTGCGGCAGACAAAAAAGTTCTAATTAAAGCTGAACCCCAGCCTTCCCTTCAGTCTTGCACAGGTCTATACTGCTGAACCGATTGACTTTTGGTATGTGTCTACCCGGCTTAAGGGACCTCAAGTCCCATGCTCCTCTGTGGTATTTCTGTAATGCCACAGGGAGCACGCACACCAGGCTGATGCATATAATTTAACAACAATCTCCTTATAAGCTGATACAGTATGTGCATTTAATGTATTTTAGATATTTACATCCCTTGCTTGTATAACCATCCAAATCCCCAGAGCACTGCAATCAACAACCCCAGCAGATTCTAAGCTGTCATTCAACTGACACTCTAATATTCCCCTTTATTCCTCTTTATGTAGGTGTATCACTCCCCTCTACTGGGATCCATCACCAAGTCTCCTCTTGGCCTCTGGCACTTTCAGGTTTCACCAGAAGCACTGGCACCCCGACAAATCAGGAGACAGCTCTCCTGATTGGTGCTGCCCTAAAACTGCAAAACCTGATGAAGGGGTCCTGCGAGACTCCGAAACGTTGCCTTGCTGTAACTATGTGATCGTTTATTAAAACTTTTGGACCCATATTGGTGACCCTCGGTGTGCTGTGACATTCTCCCTTGCTAAACTGCAAAGTGACATGTGGCTCAGAGTTCCAGCAATGTGTTGCCATGCTTTAGGCTGGGCCCCCATCTAAAGTCCTTATCTATTATCCTGTGTCCTCTGCTCCTGCCTCCAGCCTCTTGGTACCCCATGACTCCTAGTGTGCCCCATGATTCCAAGCACTTACTCTAATGGAACCTTCCATGCCAATGCCCAGTACTCCTGTAGTCAGCTTGTGGATTTACAGGCTGACATGCCCCCTACCCAGCTTGACATACAGCAGTCAATCGATTTGAGCTCAAGAGGAAGAGTAGCTAAAGCAGTCATGTGACTGCAGCAAACCAGAGGTACAAAAGAAATTTTGGAGGGTTTTCATATTGTTTTGTAATCTGCCCCTTTCATGATGACTTTATACACTATCGTCTTTACATCTACTAAGTAAATTTGTTGCTTTGCCCTCAATGGGCACAGAACAGATTTAATTCTAAACAGCCAGGGCTGGACGAATTCTTATATGATCCAGGACACAATCAGTTCAATCAAGACACCAACATTACATTTTTAAGATCCTGGAAATGGGCTTCTACTGATCCACAACAGAAGACTGGATATTAGACACAGATGACACAGCTGTTATTACATTGACTAGAGGAGACAATTGTGCTCTTACCAGTTTCTTGAAGGGGAATATATCATACATTATTCTACAATATTCCACAGATGCTTCCACAGCGCACGTCCACAGTGATTTTGAGATTGGTGCCAGAGGGATAATTCCCTGCGTGCGATTTTTGGTGAGCATATCAAACTCGACATGCTGTCTGCAGGATTCCGCCATGTATGGGCAGTGATCGACAACAAAAACTGTCTTGTGGGACTCTGAAAAGGTTTTCATCTTGTCTACAAAGGAACAGAAAAAATGAGCAACTCTAATCACTGTACCAATTTCAATATAAAAATGTCATACTAACTTAAAGCATATCAAAAACAAAACATTTTTTTTCCTCCTGATTGGCACCCATTTTTAAATGGTTGAGCAATGCACTGCTAGGCCTTACCCGAGTCTCCTGCTGCTGTATCTGCACTCCAGTGTATCCAGGTGACCTTAGTGCATTCCTGTGTCTCCAGTGACTTTTGTGACCTCTGAGCCTCCTCAGCATCCTGTGTCACCTCTCATCCCAGGATTCCAGGGCATCCCCAAGTGTTTTGCTACCTCGAGACCCTGGTGCACTCTCAGCAGTCTTTGTTACCCCCGTGACCCCCGGAACTCCAGAGCACTCGGAGTATCCATGTCATCCCATGATCTCAGAGCACACTGGGCATCCTGCATCACCCTGTGACCCCTGGGACTCTAGAGCACTCTGAGCATTCTGTGTCCCCCTGTGACCTCAGAGTTCTCTGGGCATCCTGTGTCACCCCCTGACCCCTGGGACGTCAGAGCAATCTCAGCATTCTGAGTCATTCTGTGACCTCAAAGCACTCTGGGCATCCTTTTTTACCCCCCTGACTCCTGGTACTGTAGATAAATCTGAGAATTTTGTGTAACCCTCTGACCTCAGGGCTCTCTGAACATCCCATGTCACCCCCTGGCCTCTGGGACTCAAGATAAATCTGAGCACTCTGTCACCCGGGACCTCGGAACTCTCTGGGCATACTGTGTCACCCCCTGACCCCTGGGACTCCAGAACAATCTCAGCATTCTGCATCACCCTGTGACCTCAGAGCACTCTAGATATCCTGTGCCACCCTGTGACACCAGGGAAGCCAAAGTATCCTTTATCATTCTGTGGCTCCGGTGTGCCCTAAGTGCTTATGTGATACCTGCGTCCCCATTCAACCTCAGCTAGGCTTCCAATTCTCTCAGTGGATCCTGCATGACACAGGTAGCAAACAAGAAGTGACAGGAAATCTATCCACAGTGAGAGGAATCCCTTTTCAGTTGTCACCAGAACAGGTGTCCCCAGTGAAATATCTCCCATCTATTCCTGTTCTGATGACAACTGTAAAATTTCAGAGCTCCTATCTCTCTCTCAGTGACACCAGGACCAGAAATGGGCTCAGGCACATTCGGACATTAGTCTAAACCTGCCTGAGCTATCCCGCCAGGAAGCTGCCAAAGCGGACAGCCAATCTTAGGCAGTGGAGGCATTCATCGCACTGCAGCGGCACGTACATGCACTTCTTGTTTATGTGTTTCTGTGGAGATGGAGCATGCTCTGCTATATAGGATTAGCTCTCTGCTTTGACAACTTCCTGGTGGAACTGCTCATGCTGCTTTGGAATTATGTCTGAACTCGTCCCTAACCGGGAAAAAAAAACAGAGGGGTGAATCTTCCCAGCATGCAGATAGAAATAATAAGATGTCAAGGGTTTGAATCTTTCCACACTATCTAAAAAAAAAAAGTTATAATTTTATAATAAAGAGCCACTGTGCCCATACAAGGCAAAGTGACAGTGCCTCTGTAATGAAGAACAGACCTCCTGCACTAAAAATGGAGCCCTATCACTATAGCTGCTAACACTAAACCTCCTACCAAAGTGAGTACAATGACAATAAATAATAAACAGTGCAGCACTAAACCTTAAATATATAAATAAATAAATAATAAATAAAATATAAGTATGCAATAAATCAGTGCAATGTGCAAAATACGGGTTAAATATAAAGTGCAACACGTGTATTCCCAACGGAAGTCACATGTCTAGCGTGACGCAACGCGCCGGTACGCAAGGAGTATTTTGGGAGCGCGGTCACGTCATTTTCCGGAGTGGCGGCCATATCTGAAACCCCTATATTTAATACCTATGCAAGGCATTCATAGCATGAGGTATAGGAGCCATGTAAAAGAAGAACTAATATGTGAGTGGGCATTCTTTTTGTATAAGTTTTACTCAATAAATTGCGGTTTTACACTATGAAAGCTTTTTGTTTGTACATGACCTGGAGAGGAAGCTGCTGACTGAGTGTATATTTCTGGGGAGGATCCTGTGATACATCTCAGTGGTGTTTTATCCTAAGGCGAGCTGACCCTGCAGGGTCAATGTAAGGAGGTGAGGGGCCACTGTAGCCACTTTTGGATTTACACAGTGTGAAAACATGCATGAAGATTTTGTTTTGGACACTATTTATATGGACTTATTTACATTGAGTGGTCATTTACATTAGAGTGATTTTTTGATAGATTGATTGCTGTGATCACTTTGACACTTTGATTATTCCCGTTGGGAATACACGTGTTGCACTTTATATTTAACCCGTATTTTTGCACATTGCACTGATTTATTGCATACTTATATTTTATTTATATATTTAAGGTTTAGCGCTGCACTGTTTATTATTTAGTGCCTCTGTAAAGGCCCCATATATACGCACCTTACTAGCGCTTGCATCAGAAATGTCAGTATACTGCCTCCCCTTTTACAAGGTGTGTATTACATACCAGTGACCCTATGGTGACAGGGTGACTTTAAAGCAAACATATAATTAACGTGTTACTAAACCCGGGACCCTGCATTCACTATATCTGGTCTCCCACAGTACACACAACATGGAAAATGCAATTATTTTACTAAAGATAAACTGCTAAATATCTTTTTGCATTAGCAGCATATAGCAGTCTTGTGACTAATCAGTGTCCAGCTGAGCACTGGTTAAAGCTTGTAGGAGTTTTCATTCTCCCCGACTGTCCTATGAGGCTGAAGGACCCCTGATCCTTTGTCTGTATGTCTGTATAGTGCTGATCACATACACTGTCCCAAGGACAAGAAAAAAAACCCCAAAACCTTTAGCAATACACACCAAACTGAGCGTGTGCATCTTGCCCCCAAGGCTCTATTTTATCAGGAAATTATTTAGGAACAGTAGAAGAAGGGGAGGATCATAGAACACTTGATCAAACAGCCCTTTTCACACAATGTGTAGCATTAACCCCTTAGGTTCCACAGTGAGTATAACAAACATGCATATACAGACTGATTTTACGGTTGAGAGTTTAGTAACACTTTAAAGCGGAAGTTCCGCTTCAAGCCCTTCTCCCCGTTAAGGATTGACACCTTTGGGGAGTGAGTTTCCAAATTTGACAGATACACACTCCCACTTTCACTGCGAGTTCCTAAGACGATCGGAAGCGGATGTTGCCCTCCCTCCCCGTAATCTTCTGGGACACATGACAGGTCCCAAAAGACTACAGGACCGTTCACAGATCGCAGCGCTACCCGCGCATGCCTAGTGGGCACCTGGCTGTGAAGCCGCAAGCTGTCACAGCCGGGTACCTACACTGAAGATGCCGGCGCAGGGGAAAGAAGACGGCCGGTGAAACCAGCGGTGGTGAGGACACCGCTGAACCGAGGGACAGGTAAGTGTCTGCATTTTAAAAGTCAGCAGCTACAGTTTTTGTAGCTGCTGACTTTTATTTATTTATTTTAAATCAACTGGAACTCTACTTCAAAGAGACATAGCGAATGCCCTTACTGACTTTTCTAGAAGAGCTCTGTCATGCTGATCCTCTGGCTTTCATATTTTGAATCAATGACTTGGAAAATGTAACAGATCTGGGGTTTTCCTGACCTGTATACAAGTGAAGAGACAGTGACCCTAAGTGGAACTAAAGGCAAAACATTTTTTTTTAGTTTTGGACAGAGTGGAGATGGATTAGAACCCCTGTCAGTTTTTATTGCTGTCTACACCCGTTAGTGATATTCATCCTATTTGTCCCGTTTACCATTAGCAGTGAAAGAAAAAGAAAATCCCAAATGTAGGGTTGTCCCCAGAAAAGTAATAGAGGGGAAATCTTCCAATGGAGACACTAGTTCTGGTGACCTGGGGGACCCCAAAGAATTCTCTTAACCACATGCTAACTGCGCTATAGCCGAATGATGGTTACAGCACGGATATCCAGTTCTGGGAGGGCGTCCTATGACGTCCTCCCAGAATGCGCCCTTAGCGGCGCACACCCGGCGATCTCCGTGATCACTATGTCCTACGGACACAGCTGATCACGTGATGAGATAAAAGCCCAATGACACAGCAGAGCACAGAGTAAATACACTTGCCGGTTATCGGCAGCACTTTACTCACGCTGTCACAGAGCAGATCAGTGTCCTGCAGTGCCACCCAGCAGTTGAGCCCGTCAGTGCGGTCAGTCAGCGCCGCTAGCAGTTGCATCCGTCAGTGCCATCTATCAGTGCCCATCATTGCTGTATATCAGTGCAGTATCATCAATGCCTCCTAATCAGTGCTGCCTATCCGTGCCACCTCATCAGTGCTGCCTATCCGTGCCACCTCATCAGTGCTGCCTATCCGTGCCACCTCATCAGTGCTGCCTATCCGTGCCACCTCATCAGCGCTGCCTATCCGTGTCACTTCATCAGCGCTGCCTATCCGTGTCACCTCATCAGCGCTGCCTATCCGTGCCACCTCATCAGCGCTGCCTATCCGTGCCACCTCATCAGCGCTGCCTATCCGTGCCACCTCATCAGCGCTGCCTATCCGTGCCACCTCATCAGCGCTGCCTATCCGTGCCACCTCATCAGCGCTGCCTATCCGTGCCACCTCATCAGCGCTGCCTATCCGTGCCACCTCATCAGCGCTGCCTATCCGTGCCACCTCATCAGCGCTGCCTATCCGTGCCACCTCATCAGTGCTGCCTATCCGTGCCACCTCATCAGTGCTGCCTATCCGTGCACTCATCAGTGCTGCCTATCCGTGCAACTTCATCAGTGCTGCCTATCCGTGCCACCTCATCAGTGCTGCCTATCCGTGCCACCTCATCAGTGCTGCCTATCCGTGCCACCTCATCAGTGCTGCCTATCCGTACCTCATCAGTGCTGCCTATCCGTGCCGCCTCATCAGTGCTTCCTATCCGTGCCGCCTCATCAGTGCTTCCTATCCGTGCC